AAGGGCCCCGTTTGGTATTATTTTCCAACATCCAATTTTGATGATGGACCATAACAAATTTCCAGAGGTGCCTTTGGCGCCAATACATAATAAATTTGAGGGAGGAGCGCGCGCCAAAAAATAATGCGAGCCTTTGGTCAAAATTTTCCAAAAATTACCTAAGAACGCTTTTTTGACCTGTTTTTTTTTCTCAAAAATTTGCCTGCGGCGCAGAAAGTTTGGCCAAAACAGCGTCTTTTTAGTGCTTCGCAAAATCAATTTTACCGACCTGAAAAAAGGTCGTCAAAAAAATTTCTGAAAATCCGCCCCTCCCTCGAGAAAATCCTAAATCCGCCTTTGCTTAGGCGCAATTTTTACAAGCAATCTGAAAAATTTAACAAAATTTTAAAACTTTTCATATGAAAAAAGATAAAACTAATTCAGCTAGAACAATTTTACAAAGACAATTTTTTTTTGAAAGGATTTAGAGAAATCTATTCAAAGCTACCAAGAATGCTCGTATCATAGCAAAACCCTGAATGTTTCGAAAGCGTTGTGTTTTTATGGAGCAATTCAAAAAATTTTGAGAATATTTAAAAAAAGTGAAAAAATATCATTAAGAAGCCAAACTGTGCACCAGATAGTTGCAGAGTTAGTTCACTGTAGATCAGTGGAATCCAGACACAAATTTTTAAAACTGTTCCAAAATGTACTTCCACTTATAAACTTTCTGTGGATTTCGGGTACAAATACTTGTAAAACAAACTTTGCTGGAATATTTGTCTTCTCACAGACTCTGCAACAAGCGGAAATAGTTAGTTGATTTGTATTCTGCAACTGTTAGCAATTTCTGAAAAAGCAAGTGGATTCCGCAAATATAACTGGAATCTGCCTTTTTGTTATTTACTGAACTAAACCAGATCTTGCATATGAACAATTAAAAGCTAAAGTTGAAATTATTGACTAGCGAAGGCGGAATTTAAAAGCAAGGATTTAACTAGTTTTAGCGGAATCCATGAACAAATCTTAAATCATTGGTTAATTATATTGTTGGATGTACCATTTATTATTTCGGATAAATATCCCAGCAAGCATTCTATGGGATCATTTGGTATCACAATCACCTAATAAAAATTGTGAGATTAATGGGTTCAAAAGGTTTGGAAACAAAACGCACAATTCATCAGCGAAAAGATCATTATTTGAAATTAGTGGGTTGAGAGTGATTTCAAATCATTCGTTGTTGAGATGAGATGAGAGCGAATTCAAATGATTTGTCGGGGCGAGAGGTTCGTTCCTCTGAACGCTCCGACTGCACTTCAACGTAAGAAAACGGCGAGGTAAGTGGTGATGACAGATTTCAAATGGGGTTGATAGATCACCTCCAACAAGAAGTTTACTGGAGGAGAGCTTGGATTATGTTGCATTTTTCAGATTATCAAAAATGATTCGAACTGTTCTGGTTTCCTCTTTTCTTCTATCTCTTACATTGTGAATTTTTCGCGACAAAACTTTGGGGGTAATATAGTTGGAAACGGTTCGAGATCGAACACTTGAGTTGGCAGAAATTAAGATTGAACGTTTCAGTTGCCAGGCACTGAGAGTTATTCGAAAATGAACTTACAGGAATTAAATTGGTAGTAATCAAAATTGAATGATTGCGGGCAGGGCTCAAGCAAAAATTGAGATTGAAGTTGCTGGTTACCACCATGTAAAGAAAATTTTTTAACTGGAACGTTACTGTATATTTTCCTAAAATCTGCAAATAAAATGCGGATTTCGCTTACAGTTTGCGGATTCCCCTTACAATTTGCTGATTCCGCCACGACAGCGCAATTCTATAATGCAAGTAATTAATTACACAAACTGTTCTGGGTTCCTCAAAAACGGTTGAAGATTCTACAGCTTTGCTTAATTTTGGAACTATTTTGAGCGGTGCAGAGTTTCAACTTTTTGTTTGGGGTATCCAAAATAGCGAAGAAGATCAAAGAATGGTATTAATAATTCAAAATCCGCAGCAAACCTGATTTTGAGCTTCTGCAGCACCCGATTAATTTTCACAAAATGCACAGTTGGACCTTGTGGTATTAAAAAAAAATTAAAGTGTTTTTTTAGCGAACATTCTCCACACGCTATATAAGGTAACAAAGTGATTTATGCTTTGCATATACCAAAGTATTAAACAGACCTCAACCCAATTTGGAACGATTTCTAATACGGACCATATCTCCGCTTACGCGTAAATAGCACAAAATACATAGTGCGTTAATTGTCCCAAATTGGAAGCTTTTAAACCCCCACAGGTGAAATATCTTTTTAAGCTTGAGCTCAAGAAAACAATACTTATCAAATGATACGAATGATTTGGAAAATTTTGTGAAGAAGAAAAAACCACCCCGAGCACAAATATTCCGTCACTTTCCGCAAAAGTTGGGCTAACAAAACTACGTGTATCAGGGCAAAGCTCTGAACGCTCCGACTGCACTCAACGTAAATAAAAAGCTTTTGAAAAATTGATTCAAGATTGAGGAATTTGTCCCCAAGACAAATCTTCAATTTTTCAAACATGGCAAGAAACTGATAAAGCTCGAACCAGCATAATTACTGATACCAAAAAAATTAGGTCATAAAAATTTTTTTGAATTAAATATGCTTATTCTTGAATCTGATTTTGATTGAAAAACAAAAACAATTCATTTAAACTCTTGGTCGGAATTTTTAAAATCAAAATTGTCTAGATACTAAAAAAAGATGTTATTTTGGGTCTTATGCACTAAACGGCCAAAATCAAATTTTCTACATTGTAAGCTGGAAATTATGCGATCGAATTTGATTGGGTAATTTTAGCCAATCAAATTCAAGTTAGACGGTCAGGCATTCCGATCAACTTTTTCAGCAGATAAAAATATTGGCCGAAATTTCCGAAAAGATAGAACTTTGTAAAACAATCAAATTAATTTTGAGTTATTTGTGAAACCTTGACCAGACAAGAAAAACTTAATAAAATGGCTTGACAAATCAAAAATTCATTTTTTTTGTCATTTCGGCTAATAATTTTATCGGCTTGAAACGGTAGAATTATTTCCTTTGAAATGGTAGAAAATGTCGATGGAACTTAATTGGCTAATTAGCCAATCAATTTCAACCACATTAATTTCAGTTCAAGAAATGTAGAAATAATGATTTTGGGCCGTTTAGTGCATAAGACCCGTTATTTTCAGTACAATTTTTATTTTTTGAGAAATACGTCAATTTAAAAAAAACACAGATCTACGTTTATGCTTCTTCTAGATTTTCAGAATATTGCTTTGGTTCCATTAAATTTTGAAGAGCTCGATAGGAAATGCAGCTATGAACAACTCCAGGGCCATTATGGACAGTTTGGGTCTAAACAGTTCAACAACTGAAATTCTACAAATTAAGTATGTTGACAATCAATAATCGAAAGTCTAGCGAACCCAAAAAGCAATACAAATGACCCTGTTTTGAAGTAAGAGGGAGGATCATCAACGTCAGCTAATATGTTAA